TTTTTGTGTAATTTAATGTATTTATTTATTTTGTGTTACTGCGTGATCTGTTTGATCAAGATTTTAAGGTTTTATTTGTTACATCCTCTTGCAAATTAAATGCAGGTCAGCATGCTCGAGAGGTTGTGTTAAAAGCAGCTAGTGTGTAGAGTCTCTGTGTGTTGGACTGTTTGCTGGACTGTTAATAAACTGCACTGTTAATAAAGGGGAGTTTGAAATTAAAATGATTTGTCTGTACCTCCTCTCTCTCTGCCTCTAAACTGTTTGTCTACATATTACACATTCCTGCGTGGCTTTGATATATGCAGATCCATGTATAAACACGTACGCACGCACGCACGCACACAAAGCCACATTTATTTTAATAAACACAGGCTAAGGACAGTTTGGATAATGAACATAAAGTAAAAGGAACACAAAAGCTCTAATGAGTGTATGTAAGGGTAGATTTATTAGCCTCTGGATGAACTTTCATCAAGTGAAGCATACTAACATGCACATTTACAGACAAATGAAACGCATCATACGTAAAACTATTACTGTACATAACATCAATGAATGTATTGTGTGGTCACTGAGTTATTGAAACATTTCATTGCTATTTTTAGGATTATTTTGTCTGCTTTTCTGCTAACCTCGTATAAACATCCGCACAGATGCGGCAGCCGCTACTCGTCAGTCAGCTCACAGCACAGATGTACTTTTTCCACTATGAATGTCGGTACAGCACATTCCCTCAGTCTGCTTTTATCATCATGCTAATTATCAATTAGATGTATTTTACAGTTTTTAAAGTAATTGTAAAAGATCTTAAGAGCAGATCCAGTAAAAGAATCTGTCAGCGCTTCCTTCAGCCAACATTAATTTCCCCCTGATCCTGCTGATCTGCTGCCTGTAAAGCACTCTTCATTTTTACTTTACACTTTTATGTGAATATGATTGCGTCTTTGCTTCAGCACAGTGCTTTATGGGGCTTGTCTGCAACTTTTAATGATTTCGGCTTTCCCTGCAGTCTCTCACTTGAAAAAGATTGTCTGCATCGCCATGGTGGTACAAAACATCCCATTAAATGACCACTGAATTACATTAAGCCCATCAGCATTCAGTAAGAAAACTCAGGCAACTACAGTAGCAATTAAATTTTTAACTGTGTTCGCTACCATCACTTTGATCCTTTAAAAATGGAAACCGGAACGATAGTGCTATTGAATCGTTTTGTCACATGTTCAGAAGTCCCATATGCAGTTTTGCCTAATGGCCACATGTTACAGTATTAAGTTGATTAACTTTTTTGCTTCAGTGCTTTTATCTCTTGTTATAGTATCTCAGAAAATGGCGTGAATGTTGCAGAATATATTAGCTTGAGTAACGTAAAAAAGAGATAATAAAGCACCACACTAATTTTGTGAAATGTGCAAAATTGAGATGCCAATTTTTATTTATTTTTAATAACAGTGGCAAGTTAATTTTATTCAGGAAAAACTATTAATGTCTAGTCTACTCTGGATGTATTGGTTGTTATTACTAAAACACCTGTTAACTCCCAGAGAAACATTTTATCAAAGTAGAATTTTGTGGCTGACAGTGAGGCAAAGTCGGAAAGTGGGGGTAGAGAGTAAATGACAGTAAGGTTAATTACACTGCTTGCAACAGAAACCCTCAATGAAAATTTAATCGGTGAAGGTTCTGACCGAAGGAAGTCCCAAACCGGCGGCGGCAGTTTGAAGCCGCCCTCACCACCAATATTTTATATTCTGTCTTTGTAAAGTTTAATCATAAAAATGAAACACCTTTTATTGTAAAAAATGGACACTGTAGCTAATAATTAATTGAGATGAAATAAAAAATCTGGCACAATGAAGTCTTGTCTGAGTGACATATGAAGCCAATAGTTCTTTTTTATTAATTAATAGAATCTGACATCAGTGTAACCCCAAGCCAATGAGAGATACATGGATGATTTTAGTGTCTATAACATTATCTCATTAAAGTTAATGTCACAATAGATCGAGTCACCAGAAGCCCTAATACTTTCTTTTAGCACAATGTAAGCCACAGATATAAGAGGAGCGACTGGGACCTCTGACTGTGTTCTGTTGGGGCCGATGTTCCCCTCAATGTCCTTATTCGAGGTCATTCCTACAGTGCCCTCTGCCTCTGTTCTGCCAGCAGCATCCTCAGGCTTTACTGATGCCCTCCACCTTGTCCCACACACACTGTGCAAATCATATTAATCTGCTCGCACAGTAGCTGGCCAGACATCTGTGCACGATAACCCCCTGGATCGTCATATGTGGGTTAAATCGTGGCTGTTTTAATGCGGGGAGAGACCTCATATAAAACCAACACATTTATGTCACAAAAAGGTCACCAGCTCCGCCTGTGAATTCACGATATGAGTAGAGATAACAACTATAACAGCAGCGTGTGGAAGACCGACTGCCGACAAATGCTCGGCTTAAAAAGCACAGGGGATTTCTTATATTGTGGTTTCCCTTCTCCTACTCTGAAGGGGCTGGATAAGCTCCTTTGTTAGGCACTCAGAGATATTCAAATCACCCAAAAAAAGCATAGCTAAAAGTGGATTTCTTATCAACACTGGTTGTCTGCTTTTTTTCTGTGCTGCAACTTTGTTCAAAAGAGTCCTTGAAGTGATTAAAAACATGCATGCCAAAAGTGACTTTGCATTAAGTTGATTTCACCCACAAAGAAGTTTATCAGTGTTGTTAATCACATCCATTTCATAGACTAATCCCTACCAGATTGTATGGCGCATGTATTTACACAGACACACACAAACACAGACATGAAACTTACTTGCAGAGTGATCAATGCATACAGCCATAAAACACAAATAAACTATAAATTCCAAAGGGTTGAGTAGACAGTGCACCCCAATCTGGGCCTCTGGCTCATAAAATGTGTAGCGGAAGACGTAAAGAAATTCAAATCAGAAAAGCTCACTGGTGAGGGACAAAAATAGAAGCTGCTGAACATTTTGGTTGCGTGGTCAAACATGAACCTCGGCCTGTGAGAGACTCTTGAGACGAGGAAGTCTTTGCTGAGATGGATGAATGAGCTATTCTTCTTCTTTTCGCAGGGGGGAGGCGTGTTCTGAAGGAACATTTCTCCCTCTGTATTCGTGGGAAACTAAAAAATTCCCTCATTAACAGTGTCCGAAGGGAAGAAAACGCAACGGCAAACCAGTTCCATATGTTACAGGATGAATCTCTGAGGCAGGAGCAGCCTCTCTGGGTGCATCTGTGCCTTTTATTCAGCTTCATCCCGAGAAAGAATACACGTAAATTATCTTTTTAGTGTTAGTGATATTAAGTTCTCTGAAAGATTATGAACAAGTTCAGAAAGACATTGCAATGTCTCCTTACTTAGGAAATATCTGTCCTTTGGTCACGAGATCTGGGGTTTGACTTCCCGACAGACCTGATCAGTTACAAATGAAGCTTATATCCTTTTGTCATCACTTAAAGTCAATTTCAAATGAATAAATAAAAAATAAACAAGCAAATACAGTCAACAAACAAGCAGCGAAGTAAAGTGATGAAGCAGCATACTCACTCTACTCCTTCTCTCCCAGATGCCAGGTACTGTGTCCTTTGTCTCTCAACCTGAGGCCCCTCATCTCTGTCTCTGTCTCCTCGTCTCACTTAGTCTCCTTTACATACCCCTTAACCTCGACTGACATCAAACAGCCCCGACCTAAAATCAACAGCAGCATCCCGGCAGCAAAAAAACTCAAAACAAAACACACGTCTCCGCGGCTGCTCTCTCGTGAAGACCCTCAGTGTGTGTGCTTAACCAAGTGTGAGCTCTTCCTGAAAGAGAGAGGAATGAGGGAGGCAGAGCATCTTGCCTCTCTCCCTATGGTACTTACAATGGTCCTCACTTACCCCCTTATCCCCTCCAAACTGGGTCATGGTTGGGGGTGGGGATGGGTGTGTGTTTGTATGTGTGGTGGTGATGAGGATGAGGAGGAGGTGGTGGGATTTTAATACCCCTCGGAGGGCAGAAGGGAGGGGAAGTCTGGGACCGACAGACAGCTACAGGGTGGGAGGAGAAGGACGTGGTTTTGGAGGTGAAAGATATTCAAAACACCTCGACAGGACGAGGCTTAGGAAAGGATATGTGTAGCAATTAGAAATTTGGCCTTTGTGCTTTCGTAACACTGTTAACGAACATCTTAAATGACGTTAATAAAGGTGCTTCATGCAGCCTTATGACACCAGGAGACCCTGAATGAATAACTTAGTATTAGTATTTTATCAACATAGTGAAAAGCTTTGTGATTGGTTGGTAAAATGGAACAATGAAACAACAATGTGTGTTAAATTGAAGTAACCAAGCTCAGACGTTTTTAGTGGAAACAAACTACAGATAGAAGCATCACTGAGATGATTTTTAGTCTCCATAAAACAAAAGGAGTTGTTGTTTTTGCAACCCCTTACAACACGAAGCATGGGAATATGGGAAATGTGGTTTTAAATTCCGATACAAGCTAGAGAAGGATATATTGGCTGATATTAGCTTTCTAGAGATATGGCATACATACATATGTCAGCCAATGAAGAAATACCAGAGATATGTTTGCTATCGTTAAGCAACAGTGATGCTATTACACATACACTTGTTTCTAGGGATGGCAATGTTGGCCCATCGCCATCAACTATTGGATGGATTACCATGAAATTGCACCATTGTTGAACAATGTGTTATGCTGTATTTTTGCTCTTACAAACATGCAAACACATCCACAGGCATAAGTTGGACAGTAATGTGTGTACGACTGATATAATAAGACTCATGAGACAGAAGTGCTAATTAACAGAATATTGGAAATATCTTGGATTTGAAGGTCAGGGTTGATGAGGTTCTTCTGACTTTCGTAGTTGGGAATCCAACTTCAGGAGGCATTCTAGTTAAAATTTCCATCAAATTCCCAGTCAGAAGGAATATACCATTAGCATACTGATGTTAGCATGTAGCCTAGCGTGTTGGTAGACTCTTGTTCAATTATAAAACCCTGCTCTGTACACATCTCGCTCATAATACCTAACTATAAACTTAACTTTATGTGACCTATATCAGGATCAGAATAAGTTTTGTGTTTATGTGAAAAAAATAGATTGAACCATATAAACCTTTTCTGTATTTTGTCTCAAAAATCCATTGTCAGATGGGTAATACTTACAGTATTCTACACACTGGCACTGAGTTTCATATCAAGTTCAATGAGTCAACAAATAATTGATGCCCAACATGCTGCATGTTGTGAGTGCCAGTGGATTTGGGTCTCCAAACTGAGCTGCCAACTCTAAAATCTAACGACAGAAGTTCATCAAGAAAGTTGTTAGTAAAGTCATGAGAGGACACTGTGAACTCTTTCTGGGATAAAAGTTTGGAAATATCCAAATAATCAGCTGACCCTGTGCTAAACATTTTATGCCAACCACATGTAGTTTCCGTTCGCAGAAATATGGACGCTTGGTCATAATCCTCCCCATCAGTTTCAGCCTCTGCATGCCCTTCTCACTCTGCTCCATCTCTAATGCCCTCACATAGAGTCATAATCATGCCACGCTCCGAACAATGAAAGATGTTCGTTTGATATTGTCCAAATCCACTCACCAGCGGTGGTTGCTCAAATTAAGACTGCACGCTATCTCAGCCTCTTTTTCTTATCTGTGTCTTATGAGCGGACCAATGGCTATCTCCAAATTTCACAGATCATGTGCTGAGGAATCAGAGGCTATAAATCCTCTTTAAATTTATATCATGTCGCTCAAAGTCCACAGCTTCTGTTAAATATGTTTTTCCTTAATGTAAAGCTATCGCAACATTGGCCTTTTTTAAACATTTTTGGACGTGTCATCTTGGTAATAACCTTGAATAATTTGATCTGAGTGGTTTTATGGAGCACTTCAGTCTTTAGTCATACTGATTTTTATAGGCAAGAGCACTAGATGTGATGATAATAATGATTATCCAAAACCATCACAGAAAAACCAAAGTTGTGTTGGCCTTGCGAGCACACACTCATAGCTATAACTACTAAAGAGTAATGATGGCGGCTATTCACAGTTAATAACATTAAGGGCCTTCCCTATGTGGCTTTGAGTGACGGCAGAATAAAAAGTCCACAGTTCAGTTCGGGGTACCCCCTGTGTTCAAACTCTAACTTGTGATTAATACACACTAAATCGCTATGTAAGGCACTTTTTTTATCTGTCTGTGTGTTTGTTTATGCCACAGTCGAGGTCGTGTTTGCAGACTCAGCCGGCACAGGGGTAGAGATGATTTATTGCTTTCATTTTCTGCTGACATAAAAACTCTCTGTTACTGTCACTGCTTGTTATGGGCACAAGGGGGTATAGCTCAGTGGTAGAGTATTTGACTGCAGATCAAGAGGTCCCCAGTTCCAACTCTGGGTGCCCCCTTTTGAAAGAGAACTTATAGTGCAGAAACATAGCCAGATTTACAATATATAATACATTCAAACTTTGACTTGTTGGCCAGTCCAATAGAAATTCTTTCTTGCTTGATCATCAAAGCATCACATTGTTGATGCAGACTTTTCAGCAGCAGATGCTCCTTGGATGCAGTTCCACCTCAGCCAAACCAGCTCTCTTATGCTGACGGACTCAGTGTATCCCAGAATCCACACTACAAACTAATGCTAAGCAGGTTTTTAGTTTGTAAAAGTGACACAATGAAATGAACTCAAACCAAACATTATACACGCTATATATGGTAGATTTCTGAGCGTGCTCTTGATGGATACTATTCTTCCACAATGCAATGTACAAAGAGGGGAGCTCATAGCTGGGAGAAAAAATAAATAAACAGTGGGTGGATGTTTTTTGAAAAAGTGTTAAATCTTAAGGAAGACATTTAGCTTTTTGTGTTTGTGAAGTTGCAGTTTGATGGACGTCAGACATATTGTATAACTTCCTGTTAGTGCAAAGCAGTTAATTGTGTTGATGTTTTGTATTAGTAGTATATACTCTATGGGATTAGTATATAGTATGGATTTGGGACACTACTGAGTATGGAAGTAAATAAAGTTATCATAATATGCTTGGAACCATCTTGAATAATGTTTGTGTAATACAATTAAAGAGTGCTACGCAATATTTGTGCAGTTCATCAGTATCAATATCACATACAGCATGCATTTAATTATGAAATATGCATATTTATGTATATATTATTATTTTTGAACAAGCGTACACTGCTAAGCCTGTATGTTATGATTATTTAAACTCAGAGTCAAAGTCAGAGGGGGGCAGGTCATGACTTTGCTATCCTGGGAAAAAAAGGCAAATGAGACACTGCTGGGAAGTAGAAGGGGCTAATAAATTACATGGTATTGAATCAGTGCACAGGCACGCATACTTATCAGTCTCAGAGGAATTTCCGGTACTTTTATTGGTATCATAACTTTACTTTCACTGCTAACAAGATTAGCTGTTAAACTACTATATACTGTAACCACACTGTAGCTCCTGTCATAGTCATCTCCACCAGAGCCAGATCATGATACCTTTTGTCTTCAGTGCAGCATTACAAAGGCTGTTAATATTAGATGTCTGTGAGCTTTGGTTTGTGTTGTGATGATCTGCTGACTTCCTCCCAGAGACAACATCCAACAGAGACTGGAGTTAGTCTGTTGAGTCTTTCATCAGACTCAGCTAAGACTGATCAGATGTCACGGAAATATTCAAAACAAAATAACAAAGTATGAAAGACAAACTGTTGGTGCCGATTTGTTTGTGCAGCCTGGTGACCAGTGAAAGGCTCCCAGATTGCAGGTATAAAAAACAAAAAAGACACTTATTTAGAGTCAGAGTTTGAATTTTTTGAGTACATAATTGATGTATATTATTCTCCTTGGGGATAATGTGCCATATAAAAACACATTCAGTGGGTGTGACTTACCCTTAGTGTGTAAATCTAGGCCTGCATGAAGTGTGTATCATTAGATAGATTACATACAGAATAAACTGTATACTTTATATAGTGTGGTTTGACGCCATGAGGATAGTTTTATATTATGTTGCAAAGAAACCTTTAATTTCACAGCAATGCTTGATATTTGCACCAACTTATCAAAACTGGGGTCTTGTAAATCTTCTGCATGAAAAATCGTATATTCAGAATGCATATAAGCAGCCTTAAAAAAACTCTATATATCAGCATGTCATAAAACAGACTACTCATAGATGGACTGAGGAGATTGGGATTGCTTAACTCCCATAATCCTTCAGCCTGTCTGCATAAACCAAACTAATTTGGCTCATTTGACAGTGGATCATCCATGTAAGCATCAAAGCATTTTCAAGAAGAGGCTTGAGTGAAAGATTGACGTCTACTTGTCATCTTATCATTTCAGAATATGGTTCCGCTCAAGCCATTACAGCAATTTCTCTATTTCCGTTTGCAGACTGACGGGTTGCTATGAATGTGCATTAAGCCCGAGGCAGTGCTATCATCGTGAAAGGGGGGATTTCATGGAAAAGTTGTGGGAAGTAGTGCATCTTTAAAGATGACAACACAGTACATTTGAGTGGTCCTCATCAACAAGTGAAGTCAGGAATTTCCAAGTTCACCACCAGAAAGTTTGAATAGCAACTAACTTTCACAGGACTCCAACCAAAACACTTCCTCACCTGCTCTCAAGTTAACTTACTGTAACATACTCAGTGTTGTGTTGAATGAGCAAAGTGATT